TAATCACGAACAGATCTAGAAAGGGTTTGAACACACGGTTCATCAAGTCCATGAATACTGCTGGGGTATTGGTCAAACTGAACTACATAACACGAAACTCAAAATGCCCATATCTGGTCCTAAATGTTGTCTTTGGAATATCTTTCTCCTTAACCCTTACCTGATGGTACTCATACCTCAAGTCTATATTCAAGGAAACATGTAGCACCCTGCAACTGATCAAATAAATCATCAATCCTCGGGAGTGGATACTTATTCTTGATCGTTTCCTTATTCAACTATCTATAATCAATACACATCTGCAAGGAACAATCTTTCTTCCTTATAAATAACACAGGTGCTCCCCATGGTGATGTACTAGATCTGATAAAGCCTTTTTCAAGTAAGTCCCTTAGTTGTTCCTTCAACTCTCTCAGCTCTGCAGGTGCCATTCTATAGGGAGGACTAGATATTGGCTGAGTATTTGGTAAGATGTCAATAGCAAACTCAATTTCTCGCTCTGTTGGAAGACACAGAAGTTCATTGGGGAAAACATCGGGAAACTCGTTAACCACATGGATAGATTGAATGATTGATGACTCTACTTTCACATCCTTTTCCCGAACTAAGTGATAAATATAGCCCTTTCTGATCATCTTCCCTACCTTGAGATAGAAAATAAATCTACCTCTCGGCGATGCCGTATTACCTTTATACTCCAAAATAGGCTCCCTTGGGAATTGGAATTGAGCCATCTTTGATCTACAATCAACCTTAGCATAACAAGAAGCCAACCAATCTATACTCATTATAACATCAAATTCCACCCAACTGAGCACCACGAACCTTATCCTTGTTTATTATCAAATTTATCACGGGCCACATCTATATATATATNTTATATAGATACATAGGGGCCGACAAGGCCGTAGACATGTCATATCCAAAACTATACATATATATATATATATAAGTAACAATATTAGGACTTAAATCGCATAACTAATTCAAAAAAAAGGTTTATATAGATACATAGGGGCTGACAAGGCCGTAGACATGTCATATCTAAAACTATACACAGGATACTATCTGTAAAACCTCTAAAAAAACATGACCATAATATATATAAGTCGAGACAGGGCTCCCTATGTCCTTATAAAATAACATAACATATACAGAACCCCGACTTGGTAATACTCCAAGAAGAAATGGAGCTCACCAACCAAAAGCCGATATCTGGAGGAAGCCTATAGTAGAGGGTCCTCGCCTCGTCCTATATGAGAGACTCAATCCGACACACTTCGAAGCGGAATCTTCATATCCTTATCAGCTACCTTCCTCCTCTTGGCCCGACTACTATCATCCTCCTCTGTATATCCTATAAAATACACAAACAAACCTTGATTGACGGATTCCCAAGATTGTACACTATCTGGAACCTCAGAAGAGCTGGTGTCTATAAATACCCTAACATAGTTTTGAGCCTAAGGGCACCTGATTGTGCCAATCCGTGCACCACTCCCCTTATACCCTGATCAACGGGCCTTGATAATGAAACTAAGGGCCTTGGTGAGGTTGGAACTCCTCTCACCCCATCTGCTGCCGGCGAAATCAAAACTACTCAAACGGATGACTCATATGGATCCTCGGAAGGGTCCTCCTCAATAGAACCCATGATCTCCGATGGGTCTGAATCCATAGTGTAACTTATATCTCCTTCTAATATTTTCGTAGCCTTCTGACCCGTTCTAGTGGCTTGCGCCTATCGTCTAGTAGTAATAGGCATCACTAAGAACATAAATAAGGTAAAGATTAGGAGTGAATACTTACGACTCAGTTCTATCACACAATCTAGATTAGAAAAAAAACTAGCCATCCTAAATATCATGTAGCCTCTTGTCTATAAATGTGGTGCACAACACACCCCAAAACAAGACTCTACTAGACACAGTATATTGACAACCCTAGGATAGAACTGCTCTGATACCACTTTCGTTACGACCCAAACCGATGGGCCATGACGAGTGCCTGAGTCCTACCTGTCGAACACCCCTAAGAATGCATCTAAGATATAAACATGAATTAGGGGTAGGTCATGAATAACATCTATTAATAAACTGTTGAATTACGTAAATAACATGCATGACGAAAACATGTCCAAAAGACATATATACATATACATGCGGAAACGGTGGGGGCAAGCCGACAAGGCTACTATAGACAACTATATATCCAAAATAAGAAGCCGACAAGGCTATATACTATCCAACTATACATAACTATCTACAGACCTCTAATAGAGTGTACAACTGTATAAAGGACGGGACTGGGCCCTATCGTACCTATATCTACATAAAAAAATAGTGTACTAAAATAATAACAGCTCCAGATCAAGTGGAGCATACCAACTCTTGCTGATCAAGAACCCTAAATGGGACTGTCAGCTTGTCTACCTGCACCTGCGGGCAAGAACCACAAGCCTCAGGGAATAGGGGCATCAGTACGAATAATGTACCGAGTATGTAAGGCATGAAAATCAATACATAAAAGAAACATGGAGTAAAGGAATCCGCCTGTAAGTCTAAATAACTTTGTGAATCCTAAAATATTATAAAGTCATGCATATACGTATAAATATCGTATCATGCATAGGTATATGTGTAGATAATATCATCAAGCCTCTGAGGGCATCCCATCATATCATCTCGGCCTCTATGGGCGAAATCATTAATATATACCAACTGATCAGGTGGCGGTGCGTATATAACGTCGTAACCTTTTTCCATATCCCATATACATATAATATACGCGTATATAACGTCATCTGGTCATAAGTCAATGTACATGTATAAATGAATGAAATGCATAAGAAGTAAGTTAATAAGATTTCTCGAAATGTCATAAGATTAATATGCCTTCGGATAAACTTTATCAACCACGTATTTTTCTGAGATCCATGAACAGAAGATATAATAATAAGACACATGGGGAATCAAGAACATAGGCACCCCTAGTACTTCTATGAATAGAGTCATTTATGAAAGTTGCGCATTTGCTTGTTTCGTTTATATCATATGAATCATGCCAAAAGGAAAGAAAGGATAGCCTTAACTTACCTAAGCCGATTCTCTTAACAATCCCTCTAGCACACGTCAATCGCAACAAAACACATAATGATGAGATTGAAGTAGGAAAAATCCGTATGATATTCTTGAGAAAGATTATACAGTACTCCTTAGAATCGCAATCTCACACTGCTATAGTATTATGCTGTTTTATATAAATTGTTTTGAGGCTCCATCCGTTACTTAGAAACCATAACATCACACTTAATGATGTAGGGAAAATCTCTTATAATAGTAGGTTCATAAGAATTTTTGGTGAAGCTACATTCGTTGCCTTCTAAGCATAAGCATTTCCCTTTAATGACTTATGTAGGTGTCTTTATTATAGGTGTGGGTCCCACTTTATGGGATGACTTAGCCAACAAATTCCCTAAATATGACACCTAGCTCCTACCCAAAGAGTCATTATTACCTAACTCTCTTGCTGCCACGTTGGGTCTTCATTAAGCTTATCCAAAATTCTAATTACCTTGTTAATTTCTCACTAAAAATTAATAATTAACCAGTTATCGACATAATTAGGAATTATCTCAAATTACTTAAAACACTAATCACTTTTAACACACTTTACATATCTTACTATAATGGTCATGTAATACCTTGTACGGCACTAGTCCATAAATACAAGGTATTATAGCTTGGACCGTATTTTATCCAAATTAACAACCTTCAATGAAACTCATCTTCTTTTATTTATTTACCCACTAACCTTCAAGGTAATTACTTATCACATGTTATAAATAGCATAAATAGTTATAACCTCAAATATAATCTCATTCCCGAGCCTACGTCGATTAACTTACGACGAAACTTTAACGTACGGAAATGTGAAGTGTAAAATGGAATATATGTGGGATACAAAGATTATAGGGTGTAAGATGTTTCAAGTTGTCAAGAAATTAAAACTTCTGAAGGGGAACTTAAAGAAGCTAAATGGACAACATTTCATGAGCATCATAACTGATGCTGAAGAGAACAGAGATAGCTTGCTAAGAATTCAAAGGGCCTTGCAAGAGGATCCTATGAATGTGCAGCTGGAACAAGTAGAACAAGCAAAATATCAGGAATACAGAAGAACATCTTACTTGGATGAAATGTTTCTGAAGCAAAAAAGCAAGGCTAGATGGATACGACTTGGGGATGATAACACTAATACTTCTTCTCTATCATTAAACACAGGAAATTGCAGCATGCTATTGTACAACTACAAGATAAGAACAATATCGCTCAGAGTGATCCAATATCTATTGTAAATATATTTGTTGAGTATTATAAAGAACTTCTGGGCAAAAGAGAGGAATCAAGATGTAAGGCTAATATAGGTGTGCTGATAAATGGGTACATATTAACAGTGGAGCAATAGGTGGAGCTATTACAAAAGTATAATGCAAATGATGTTAAGAGGGCTATGTTTGAGATAGATAATAATAATAATAATAATAGTCCAAGCCCATATGGATATGGAAGTGGCTTTTCTAAGGCTTCTTGGAATGTAATTGGTCAGGACATCTCAGCAGCAATTTTTGGAGTTCTTTGACAAAGGGCACTCATCCCTAAGGTGAAAGTTCCTATTAATGCCAGCCAATATAAGCCTATTTTATGCTACAATGTTATATACAAATGCATCTCAAAGATAATCTGTCAGAGATTGAAGAAAGTTGTTAGGCACATAGTAGCTGAAAACCAAGCAACGTTTGTTGAAAGGAGATCTTTTACTTAGGCATTATAATAAGAAAACTTCTCCTAGATGTCTAATGAAAATTGATCTACGGAAAGCCTATGACATGGTTAGTTGGGAGCTTGTAGAAGAAGCTCTGAAAGGGTTTGGGTTTCTAGATAAATTTGTGTTCTTAGTAATGTCTTGTGCTTTATCCACAAATTTTCCTGTAAAGGTCAATGGTGAGGGTCATGGATATTTTGAAAGCAAAAGAGGGCTTAGACAAGGTGACACAATGTTACCCTGCTATTTGTGATTGTTATGGAGCACCTGTCCAGAACTCTTTAAAAATGAGTCATTTACCTGATTTTAAGTTCCATCCTATGTGTAAAACACTCTGTCTTAATCACCTGATATTTGCTGATAATCTTATGATCTTTTGTAAAGGTGATCAGGCATTAGTAACTAGAGTTGTGGAGGCACTACAACACTTTAGTCATGCTACCGGGCTAAAGGCTAACTTAGACAAGTCGAGTATGTTTCTTGCTGGAGCGGATGAACAAACAAAGCAGGTGTTACTAGCTCAAACATGCTTCACATTAGGTACATTTCCCATAAGATATTTGGGATTGTCATCGTCCTCAAAGAAATGGAGTAAAATGGAATGTCACCAACTAGTGAAAAAACTCACAAATAAGATAAATGTCAGTTACTCTAGGCAGTTATCATATGCTGGCAAGTTGCAAGTTATAAATGCTATTCTGTTTTCTATTTTTAATTTCTGGGGTACAATGTTTATTCTTCCCCGGGGCATTTTGAAAGAGGTGGATCAAAAGTGTAAAAGCTATCTACGGTGTTCCTCAACTGAAAAAAAGAAAGTGGCACTAGTAGCATGGGAGAAAGTTTGCGTACCTAAGAGATTTGGTGGACTCAATATTAAAAGTAGCAGGCGTTGGAATATGACTTTTGTTGGGAGATTAGTATGGCAATTAGCTCTAAAGAAGGATGTCTTGTGGTTAAAGTGGGTCAATGGCCTCTATATGAGAAATCAAAACGATATTTGAAATCATTCTCCTTCTCAAGATTCTAGCTGGTACCGGAAGAAGATCAATTCTATAAAACAGGACATGTCAACTTGGTATGTACAAGATAAATACCAATTGACTTCTGATGAGAACTACTCTGTTAGCAATAGCTACAGTGCTTTGCAAGGGACTTTGAGCAAAATGAAGGCGACAAATTTAATTTGGTGCAGAGTTATGCAACCTAAACATAGAGTTATCTTATGATTAGCAGTACAAAGCAAATTATTAACCAAATATAGAATGATGAAGATGAATATTCATGTCGATGATACCACATGTTACCTATATGATGAGAATATCAATGAATCACACATGCACTTGTTCTTAGAGTGCGGACGGTATAAAGAGATAAGAGACAGACTTGTAGCATGGACTGGAATCAATGGACAAAAACAAGAAGTGAAGCATAGGATGGAATGGTTGAAGAGGAGGAGATGGCCTCAGTTCAAGAAGGAAGCCATTGCTGCTGTTTGGAGTGCTACAATATCACATCTGAAGGGTTAGGAATTGGAAGTTATTTAGAGATCAATTAGTAAATAGAAGTTATATAATTGCGTAGATAAAAAAAAAGAGATCGTAGATAGGATTATTTTTTAAAAAGAGACTAGGAAAATTCATAGATGTAGAGAGTTGATACAAAGACTTTGTAACTAGTTAGATGTTCCGTTGGAGGCCTATCAAGCTATATTACCCTTCCTAGAAGGTGGATATAGTTAGTAGGTGCTCTTTAGGTATATTTTTTTGGTTTGTTAATGGTAATTCATAATTATTATTAAAAAATATTAATTTATAAATTTGCCCAGACTACTAGTGGTAGAGTTAATATGGACCTCTATTATGCAGCCGAAACACATGATGATTCTTTGGTTAGCTGCTCATGGTCGATTACTTACAAAAGATACACTTTTGAAACTACATGTGCTAGTACAGGACACAGAATATTGCTTATGCAATGATATGGTTGCTGAAACCCAAGCCAAGACCACCCGTTTCAGGAATGTTGATGGACAATAAAATTGAGGGTTGCTATACATAAATGGATTTATATGATAATACCACGAGGGACTGTAATGCATGTGTTGGAAAAGATTAAAAGAAAGCATTGGAGGTTCTTCAAAAAGGTAGTAGTTGTAGCAATTTGGGGAACCCTGATCTATCACACCTGGAAAGACAAGAATGGAAAAGTGTTTAAAGGAATAAATATAAATACTAACTTTGTGATGACACAAATACAAAAGGAATTTAGAGATAAAATAGATATACACAGGAACTCTAGGAAAGCTAGAGGCTGCAATTATTTGCTACAACAACTCTGTAATTAGTGATTGATTATAGGTCTATGAGTACATTGCACCATTCCTAGAAGGTGGTAGTGTGTCTAGGTGCTCTTATGATGTATTAGTTTGATTTTTAAATGGTAATATTTATATATTAGAGTATAATTTGAGCGGTATTATTTACTGGTTTTTGAACAAAAGTCCTAATTAATTGTGATGACCGGATAGGTCATCTTATGTTTTATAGCCTAATTATGTGTTTCAAAAAATCAAATAGTTTATTTTAGCCCTTCTCAATTGGCGTGCACCATCTGGGTATTTTTTAAGAAGATTTTATGGTAAAAACAGATAAAAATAAGAATTTTACCTTAAAAATTTATTTGAGTTAAGTTCGGTCAATATTTCGGATAAGCATATTCGGATCTGTATTTTAACGATCCCGGTGGGTCAGTATCGTAATTTGGGACTTGGGGGTATGCCCAGAATTGAATTTGGAGGTCCCTAGCTCGAGTTATTAATTTTTGTTGAAAATTGAAAGTTTGAAATTTAATGATTTTTCAGAATTGGATGATGTTTGGTCTTGTTGATACCGGATCCGTATTTTAGTTCTGGAGCCCGGTACATGTGCATTGTAACATTTATGACTTGTCTGTCTAATTTAGTGAGAAACAGAGTTGGTTTGACGTGATTCGGGCGTTCGTTGTGAAAATAGAAGTTTTAAAGTTTTCTTGAAAATTTCATTTGATTTTGTGTCTAATTCGTAGTTCTAGGCGTTATTTTAGTGTTTTGATCGCGCGAGCGAGTTCGTATGAGGTTTTTGAATTAGTGTGCATAATTGGTTTGGAGCCTCGAGGGCTCGGGTGAATTTCGGATAGGCAACGGATGTTTTTGAAACTTAGAAATCTGGTTTTTTGACTTTTGCTGGTATTTGGTGTTTTCTTCTTTGCATTCGTGAAGGTACTCTCGCGAACGTGAAGAGTGAGCTGAACTGGGTGGATTTTTATTCATCGCAAACGCGATGGCTGAGTCGTAAACGCGAAGCAATAGGGGCCTTACCCTTCGCGAACGCGACCAGCTTCTCGCGAACGCAAAGCTTTATGGACCTGGGAAGAGGGGATCATTGCTCTTCTATGCAAATGCGTGCACTAGCTCGCGAACGCGAAGATCAGGGGGAATAGCTTTTGCGAACGTGTATGGGGATTTGCGAACGTGTAAGCTAATCAGGCTGCTGCACATCGCGAATGCGGTAGGCCCTTCGCGAACGCGAAGAAGGCCTGACGCCAAACCTTAAATATTTCAAAAAAAAGGGATTTCTCCTAATTTTCATAACCCTTCCATTAGAGCTCATCCTAGGTGCGACTTTGAAGAGAAAACTCAACACCAATTAATAGGTTTTTACACTTTATTTCATTTACTTCCATTTTTGACATCATTCTTTAATTTTTAGCCCTAATCTTTGTTCTTCCACGGTAGAAAACTAGGGATTTAGGAAGAATAGGGAATTTTTGTAAATTGACGATTAAGACCTCAATTTGGGGTCGGATTCTGAAACTAATTACATAATCGGGCTCGAGGGTGAATGGATAAATGGGTTTTGGTCTGAATCTCAGGTTTTGATCAAGCGGGTCCGGAGTCGATTTTTGACTTTTTGGGAGAAAATTTGAAAATTCTAAATTTATGCATTGTAATTGATTCCTTTAGCAATATTTGATAATATTGAGTTAATTGTGGTGAGTTACGAGTGGTTTGGAGGCGGATTCTGTAAGGCCTCGGAAATTTTATGCTAAGTAATTTAGGATTTCGAGGTGCCATGTAGGCTAATTATAATATTTTATGTGCTATTAACATGATGGATATCAATTGGATATGATAATAAGTGTATGAGGCATATTATAAGTGATTTGGAGTCTAAGGAGAGGCCTAAGTCTAAGCCAAGTTGGAAAATTTCATAATGGACTAAAGTTGTGAATGAGTACGCACAAGACCTCACTTTGGACAATCATATCTCCAGATATATAAGGTGTTGTATGATTCACAACCTATCAAATTAAAGCTCTTTGAGTCTAGTATCCGACACATCAAACCGTTTGTCATTTGAAGGTGTATACAGAAAGTTATGACCATTTTACTGGTCATGTGTCATATGCACGCCCAGGTGCGCAGCGGAAGCGCGGCCGCGCATATTAAGGAGTATTCTGTCTTGTGAGTGCGTCATTAGCGCGGGCGTGCTAGTAGCAGACCTCTAAATATCCCAAGACCGGGTATGGAGAGTCTCTAAGTCATTTTTTGAGCTAGGGGTTGCTCTATCAAGGAGAATCTGTCCCATACTTCCCTCCTATGATCCAATGTAATGTTTTTGGGGTATTTTGAGTTTATTACTACTCCTAAACACTTATATTAGCAAGGATTGACTTGAAAATCCATAGATTCCCATTCAAATCTCTAAATTGATCAAAAACACTACAAGTGAGGATTCTCAAAATTCTTACTACAAGAGGTATGTCTATCATCTCTAACTACTCTATGGTGATTATTTAGGTATGATATATACGTTAGAACTCATGGGATGGGGATTGAAAGCCATAAGAGCTTAACCTAGGTTGTGTTGGTGTTCTAGAGATTGTGAGATGGGTTATTGAGATATGATTCTTGGGTGTAATAGTATTATGTATACATGCATGTACAAATTAAGTTTGTGGGAAGATTGTTGAACATAAATAAGTAAAGATTAGGTTGGAGAATGAATGAAATCTTGTAAAAGAGTTTTGAAACCAAGATGCTCAACTAGTGTTTGATAAAATGCTCAAATGAGCTGAAACAATGAATGTCCTTCTAATTTGTGTTCAATTCTGTTATGTCTCAAGTAGATTGGGATTGCTAGAATTTCCGGAACGTCGTAGTAACTTAAGAAAAGCTTAAACAAGGTATGTATGGCTAAAACCCAGTCTTTTAGAAATCGAGCTTCATCGATGTTTGTGTGAATATGGTAAGATTAAAGTTGAATTGTTGCATCGATTGTTATTTTACATGAATTGGTTTTGTAACCTTATATGCGTGAAAGATGTGTCTCAACATGATCAACGTGCTATCTTGATAACTTGAAAGGGGAAAAAGATATGAATTATGTATTGAAATTCTTAGACCTTAAATTGAGATTGAAGCTGCATATAATGTTCCATCTATGTGAAGTCTTATCTATGCTCACACTTTAAATTGCTCTTGTGTGCACCTACTGTCCTAAATTACAAATCTAACATTGAAATTGGAAATGATGTGAAATGTGGCCTCGTGCCAAATATATGACGTGATAGTTGTGGCCCCAAGTGCCTTTGAAATGACATATATGTAACCAAAGTTCGGAGTGAGATGAACAATGGAAAATGGTAATGTCTCGGGGAGGTGGCTTAGCCGATTGGGCCGTGAGTGGACGCCATGATATATACACATGGTGGTAATGTATTGATGATTGAAACTGGAAAGTGTGAATGAAATAATGGTAACGTCTTTGGGAGATAGCTTAGCCGATCGGGCCATGACCGGACTCCGCTCAAAGAAGCGGTGGCAAAGTGGATAATGATGCAACAGTGTGGGATACTCCAATCTAAAATTTCAGAAACTGTGTGAAAATCATGTGAACCTCCTTATATTATTGACATGGTGCTTATTTGAAACTTTGTTGTCTTTATGATTTCCTCTTTACTC